TCAAAATCCTTAACTGAGTCACATTTGTCACCATGTAAGGTAATATTCACAGGTTCTGGAAATTCGGATGTGGACGTATCTTTGGGGGCCTCAATTCAACGTGCTACAGTTTCTAAATCTTTGAGCTTTTATTCTACTTTCTCCGAGATTTCTAAAAAATTTGTCTTTCCATCCTTTTATTGAGTTTTCCATCCGTGTTATTACGTCTCTAATTTCCAAGTGCTCTTTTACTGTTTGGAAAGCTCCTTTGTGAAGCACTCTTTCTTGTGACACGTATGCGACCTCTTAACTTCCTGACAATGATGGTTATTTGAAAGTTTTATTTTCCCTCCATTGTTTTGGTTTCTTTTGCTCTCTGCCTTTCATGGGAGAAGCTTTCCCTAAATGTTTAGTCTAAGCATATTTTAAAATGGGATGTTTAACCTCGGCATCCCAGACACAGCTGAGGCGTTGGTGCATCCACAGTGCTGGGGGATTTGGTGTGAGGCCAAGACCCCACTCTCCCTGTGCCCTTGGCTCCCAGCATGCAGAGAGCCGGCTGACTGGAAGCTGTGTGTGTGGGTGGGAGAAAGTGCTTGTCAGTTAGTGGGCTGTAGGGTGATCGGTTAGATTTCTAGGTCTTTTTTGGCCCATCAGATAGATTTCCCAGAGAAGAATCCCCTGATCTTCTGCCCGTGGTGGGGGGACACCAGCCTGGCTGCCTGAGTCCTGGGCGGCATCTGAGGGGGTTGAAGTCTGTAGCATCTCATCAGTTCACCAAATCTCCAGTTTTAAATACTGAACCCTTGCCCCCACTATCCCCAGGGTACTCCCCCCAGTGTCTGTCTAGTTCATCCTTTCTGGAAAGCCCATCTCCAGTCTTCCGCTGGGTGGGAGATGGGGGGATGGAGGTTTCCTGCTTCTTAAAGTGATTTTCAACTAGTCCTCTAGTTTTCAGACCCCTTTTCTGTCCCACTTCTGGGAGTCTTTGTGGCCGCCATTCCTAGACCTTTGGGGGGTTTTGCAGTATAAATCGTCTTTCTTCAGGGTTTCCCAACTGATGGCTTAGGGTTTAGCTCCTTTGGTCTCCTAAGCCAGTTACACTAGTCTATCTGCTTCCAGCTTCCCAAATTTTGTTTTTGTCCACCCAGGTCACATAGTTCTGTCCATGTGGATATTTGTCTTAAAAAATTGCCTTTGCTGTCATTTTAGTCAATTTGGGGAGGCAGGGAGGTAAACATGTGCACATAACCCACTAGCTTGGCCAGAATTTATGCCTTATCTTTATAATAAAAATTATAAAAAATAAACATTCAAAAATAATGTTGCATATTATTAATACAAAGAAAGAATATGGAGGAAAAGTCTTGTGAGATATTTACATAATCTTTGGAAGAACACCCCCAAGGTCTCCTGAGTGAAATAAAATGGGACCCATTCCTGGGTGGGAAGATTGTATATTACACTGATTTCCATTTTTTGTCAATTGCTTTATAGATTTAATGTAATTGTGATATAAAAAACCCCCACGAATGTTTTTCTCAGGACTGGGGAAACTTATTCTAACATCCACGTGAAAGAACAGGCAGGCAACAATAATAAAGCTTTTGAGGAAGAAGTAATGCGGTTAAGTTGGAAATAGTCTTATCAGCCATTGAAATATGATAAGGTCACAATAACTATAACAGTGAGGGAGTGATTTAAGAGAAGACAGACCAGTGAAATAGGACAGACAGACCAGAAATGGATAATGGTCAACAAAAGAACTTAAAAGCCAGGCCTACGAATCAATGGAGGAGAGAAAAAATATTCAATAAATGGGGTGGGGACAATTGATTTGTTTCTTGATATAAAGATCAATTTAATTTTACCTCACACCATGTACCTATGTAATAGCAGGCCCGTCAGGACCAGTTCAGCTGACCCCATCTCTTATCAACAGAGTGGTTAAGATTCAGAAAATACGCAAAGTCCTGTAGCCAGGCCATGTGCAAAAGAAGAAGTCCTGAGCTGAAACGCCCTTGGAACCAAAGATTCTCCTCCCTATGGGACCCAAGGACCAGGACACGACCAGAACTCGGAAGTCGGACTCTTATCAAAAGCGAGGGGTCCCTCATTCAGGAAGATCTGGTGTTAAAATTCCTTCCCCATCTCATCAGAAATGTTTGGAGCCCCATCATAATGTCTATAACCCTGTCATGAATGTTTCAAATCTTAGCATAAATGCTTGAAGCCCACCAATCAAAACCTGTCCCACCAGCATTTCCATGTGCCAGCCTGTTCTCTCTAACACCTTAAATTTTTCCCCAAATCCTGAACTGGGGAGACAGATCTGAGGGCACATGCCCCCTGTCTCCATTCGGATCAATCTTGCAGAATAAAGCTGATCTCTTTTCCCAAGGCTGCTGCCTAATTAATTGGCTTGTTTATGTGCATTGGGCAGAGAACCCCAATTTTGTGCGATAACACGAATAGAAATTCTCACTATATGAAAGAATTTTATTGTGAAAAGTAATCAAATCATACAAAAATTAGAAGAAATTAAAATATCTTCAACCCCCAGTGGAGTATGGAATTTGGGCCTTAGAAATAAAAGAGAACAATTACAAAGGGGAACAACTGATTCGGCCACAAAAATAAAATATCTGTATGTAAAAAAAATCAATCAGCCAACCACAAACTTATCATTTATATTCAGTACAAATATCCCTTTAGTGTGATGTCCTTGCATGGTGGTACTTCACTTGGATTAAAAACGTGTCTTTTTGTTACTTTCTTGTATTTCTTTAAAAATAATGATCATAAATATGCAATGAATTGCATTAATTGAAAGAATGAATTTATTGATGAAAAATCTCATAGTGAATGTGACTGAGAGGAGAAATGAGAAAAGTGAGGAAGATTCAGGAAGGAGGCAGAGGGACCTAAGGAGAGGCCACATCTCTCAGAAGCCACTTAAGGGAACACAGGGAGGGACAGGCAGTATAAATCCAAGGCTTAATCAGGATGAGCCACTTTCTGTTTGCCCTAAAACCAGCCCAGTGGTGCAGACGGGGCAGGAGTTTACAAGCGGAGGCATGGAGAGCATCCTTCCCAAGGGAACAGATATGCAGCACTGACATTGTTTAGAATTGCCAGCCCAAGTCATTATAAAAAGCAAACCGACTTAGAGGATCTTTAGTTTTCCAAAAGATTTTCTACAGACAATGCACCCCTATTGCCAGCGCCTGGGAGAGATCCCTCCCCAACTGTTCTGGAGACAGTTAACCCAGGTTCAAGTTCCCACGCCCCACCCAGAAACAGAGGAAGATGTATTATGTAACTCATGGATTATTAGGTTTAAAACAGGTCAGGACAACAAGATGATCAAGTCAGTGGGTAAGGCCAAGCAATTGGTTAAGAGAGGAGGGTCTGGGGTTAAACCGGGGTCAGATCCCGCCTGTACCCTGAGGGTAACTTTGAGCAGGTGTTTAGGCTCTGGGAGCCTTGGTTTCCCTATCTGTAAAGGGAAGAGGAGAGTAGTACCTGCTGTTACTGTGGGGCCACAGTGCAGGTTAACTGGGGCGATGCACACCCAGGCATTCAGCCAGACACAGTGCACTGTGAGCGGGAGGGGACGTTTTTGTAAACACAGGACCAGAAACAGAATTTGCCACCCCAAAATATGCCTCTTTGGTATAAGGATTATTTTGAGCTGATGATTGTTAAGAAATAGCAGACACAGAAAAAGCTCTGAAAACCTAGTAGAAGTTACCCTTTTGTAAGGAAAATTTACATTTATAAAAGAAATCTCCATTTGTAAGGGTGTCTCCTTCCCTGTGCCAGGAAGAGAAGGATGAGGTAAATCTCTAGAAACTCTTGCCCATGGAGAAGGCAAGGACTGAAATCTGTATAACAACTTTTCACTCATTTATTGTGCTTTTCCTGGTAACCTCCTATAACTGACTACATCTCAACAACAGAGTGTTAAAGCTGATTTTCGGGGGCAGCAAGCCAGCCAGGAGCATGAGCAGAAGAGAAAACTGTGACCCGCCCATTGAAACTCATCCTGCCAGCGCTTCCACATACCAGCCAGCCCTCCTTAATCCCTTAAGCTTCACCCCAAACCTGGACTGGTGAGACAGATGTGAGAGCCTTGCTTCCTGTCTCCTTGCTGATTGACTTCCCAGTAAAGCTTTTTCTTTTCTCAAAAGCCAGTGGCATAATACGTTGGCTTTTTATGTGCATCAAGCATTGAGTCCTCTTATCTGAGAACATTATTGCTGCTGCAGACATGCCTCTTAGTGACCAGCACAGAGGAACAGGATCACAGTGGACAATGGGGACAATGTGAGTAGAACAACACAAGGAGAGGTGGTGGCAGGAGGCAAGGAGGGTAAACAGGATGGACACAGGGGAAGAGGGAGATGGGAAAGTAGAAAAAAGAGGAAGGACTGAGGCAGGAGAGTTGAGGGCCATGTTCTGTGGGGCCGGGTGAGTGGAGGAAGCTGGGAGGTCGGGAAAACAGGTGATGGGCATTGCCAGGGGACAGAGGCTGCTTGGGCCATAACTAGGGACCAACTGTGTGTGCTGGGCTGAGCTCCTGGCTGTGGGGAGACGATAAGGGGCAAACTGGAGTTCCACACAGAGACAAGGGGAGGCATGGCACATCTGGAGAACTCATGTTCCCCATTGTAGGGGGAGGGAAGGGGCAGGGCTAGAGCCCCAGCTTAGAGCAAGAAAGGAGGATAACTGGGGAGCCTGGGAGATGCTGAGGCCTGGGGAGTGAGGATGGGGGCTGGACCTGGAGGGGGCAATGAGGAGAAGTGGAAAGGAAGGCAGCCCAGGTTTGGAGAAGATTTAGGTGAAAAGGGTAAAGTTGTCAGAGGCCTGGGGAAGAGTGTTGGAGGAGAGAGGGAGAGGAGTTTGAGAGAAGGGTCAGGGAGAGAGGGCCTGGGTCAGGCCTGGGGGATGAGGGTGTCTGTGGCCTGCAGGAGCCTCAGTGGGGTGGGCGTGGCAGCTGCCAGGGCAGCTGGACTCACCGCGGGTGATCGTGAGGTTGGTCCCCAGGATGGACTGCCACACCTCCCTGCGGCCAATCAGTGTGTTCAACTGGACACGGCAGAAGTAGATACTCTCGTCCTCCCTCCGCAGGTTCGAGATCTGGAGGAAGCCGGTCTTTGAACCCTCCCTCCAGTTCAGGAAGAGCCGGTTCTCATAATCCTTATGGATGAAACGAGGGGTCATGTTGTAGATGAACTCCCCATGGAAGTGCTTCCGTCTCCAGGATATACTCAAGTTGTGAACCTCGGTTAACTCCCAGGGGCGATTGAAGGAGAAGGGGATGTGGATGGAGCCACCCTGGGGGGCTGAGAGGTGCTCTGGTTGGTCGACCCCATAGCCAGTCTTTGGATTGGATCCTGGCAAGCTACCTAGAGGAGAGAGGGAGGAGGAGAGAGTTTGAAGCCATTGGGAGAGACAAAGATAACCCCAGGGGGTCTGGCACCTTCGCCCACGGGCATTAGGGTGACAGATGGTAGGACAGGCCCTCTGGCCTGGATGACCCCTCTCCAGGCTTGGGATAGGGAGGAGGTGAGGGGCTGGAGGGGACCCAGCACTGCGGGAACAGCCCTTAGTTAGGGGTGGGAGGCCTGGCTGGCAACCCCAGACAGCCCCTTCCAGGGACTCCTCCCATGGCCTCAGGCAGAGCCAGGGTGGTCCCAGCTACTCACCAGCCTGCAAAGATGCCAGCAGCAGCAGCAGCAGCAGGGGCAGCCCCACCGCCCTGCTCTCCTCCAGGGAGATGAGAAGACAAGCAGCACTGTAGGGAGGCCCTATGGAGGGGTCACCTGAGGGAAATCTTGGCATCTGGAGAGCAAGGATCAGCCTTCTCTACAGGACAGAGGGAGGGTGGGAGGCTTCCTCAAACGTGCCCACCCCCAAGTGACCAGCACTTCCTTCATCAGTCTGGCTTCTCCTTTTCCTGTGTTTCAAAAGAGGCTTCCTTGTTGTCAGTGCAAAGAGAGCCTGATATAGATCCCCAGCCCCCATCTTCATGCTGAAGGGCGTGGTCCTGACCTTGGCTGGAGCCTCTCCTCTCCCACCTCAACTCCCTGCCTCTGCCAGCCCCCTTGGCATCTCCTTAGGCATCAGTCTCTGTCTCTCTCTGTCTCTCACTCTCTTCCTTTGCTCTGGTTCCCTCAGTGTCTCCCAGTCTCTGTCTCTCTCTCTCATCCCAGGGGAGGGGTCGGCAGCAGCACAGCTCAGGGTCTTCAGTGAGAGGAAAGCGGCCATGAGTCTCTACCCAGCTGCAGCCCCATAGAGAGAAGGAGGAGGGCGCCTATGGTGGTCAGACACCCTCAGCCCCAGCCCCAGTGCCACCAGGGGCTCCCTTGCAGTTCCAGGCAGAACCAAAGCTGGCCAAACCCCTTCCTGCCCCTGGTCTGCTCCCTACGTGCAGTCTCACACCCTCCCTGAGGTTAAGAGGTGAGGGTGGGCTGACATTCTCACCTCCCCAGGGAGTGGACCTTCTGGAGGCCACACCTTGACCCACAGAAGGCAAGACTGGACCTGCAGGACACTCTTTCCTTGCCACTCCACAGATGAGGAGACCAGGCTCACAGAAGCCTTGCCCAGGTCCATGGGTCTCAAGTTGCTGGTCCAGGACTCACATTCCAGTCTTGCTGAGTCCACAGAGCCTTCTGCTCCTTCTAGATACTTCTACATGGTTGCACCACAGAATCTCTGGGCCTCAACTTCTAAACGGAGTGTTCCGGGGGTGAGCCCCAGGAGGCTGTAGTTTTACAATGCTGCTTAGGCGATTCCACTCACAGCTGTGAGATCCCTGGCTAATCCAGGGCCTGCCTTGGACAGAGCAGGAAATGAAGACTCACGGCAGTAATGTCATCCTGGTGATAGTCCCTGGGACCATCTGGAATAGAGGACACTGCCAGCCTGTGACTGGTGGAGGACTGGAGTGAAAGATTGGGGCCTGGGACCTTTCGTGGCCCACAGGGCTGGCTTTGTAGGAGGCTCTGCCTCACCCCCGCCCCAGGATGAGGTTGGAATCTGCTTACTGAGAAGTCAGTGGGAGTGAGGGGACTTGATTTCATCAGAGGAATTGGCCTGAGTCTTCTGGAGGTGGAAGCAAGCAGACGGACTTCCTTTCTCCTTTTCTCAGTTTCCTCCTCCGTCTTAATAGTTTTCTTCCTTGCTTCTCCCATGGCCAGCCCAGCAGCCCCAGCTCTCTTTCTGTGTCTGCTTTTCTTATCCCTCCTCCCAGGCCTGAGAAGAGAGGTTCTGCATTTTCATGGAGTCCCCTTATCTGAGTCAGGTCTTAAATATCCATTGCCTCATTTTCAGCTTTACATTCTGTGGTGGACGTATCATTATCTTCATTTTACTCATGAGGAAACAGAGTCACAGAAACTTAATGGCATGGTGTCTTCTGGGCTATGAAAGGTGCTTGGGTGAATTGGAAACAATTGGAATGGTAGGCAGAAGAGAGGACAAGGGACCCAGTGACTCCTTGGTAGGGCCTCTGGAGGGTGGCCTGCTCTGTCTGAGGCATGACATCTGGGTTCCAATCTTGCCTTATCTCACTGGCCATGGAGCCTGGCTGGCTGGTCTCCTCCTTGCCAGGCTGTCCTAGAAGGGTGCAGCACCCCATCAGGGGTGTCACTGCCCATTCTGTTGAGTACCGGAAAACTTTTACAAAAGAGGTTCTGGATAACTTTCATATAGTAACAGCTTTTCAGGTGCCTCGGGCTCTGCTCCTTCCCCATATGGTCTCCTTAGAGGCAAGTTGCACATTTCATGTCACGTTTAAGCCCTTGGACCCATTTGGATGCCCATAAGTCTAGAAGTTGTGAGGTGTGATTTCTGCTCAGGGATGGTGTGTGGTCTCCTGGTTTGTTCATCCTCCTTTTGCCAGCAGAAATGAGAGGGTCTGGGAATGAGCCTTGAGCTGTGGCTCTACTCACAGAGGGGCTTCTGGGAAGAGGAGGGCCTGGAGTTTTGTGATTCAAAGATGGGCAGAGCCTAAAAGTAACCCTTTAGCTCAGTGGGTGGTCATGGGGAAGGAGTCAGAAGCAGTGTGATCAGGAGCAGGACAGAGTGAGGGCAGGAGCTGTGGACTACGTTTTGAGAACACTGTCTTAGATCTTCTCCAAGTTCTCCCAAGCTACCATTCTCCCTTCCTCACTGGCCACATCCATCACTGCCCCAACTCCTTGCCTCTCAGTGGTACCTCACCTGCTCCTGTATTTCCCCCAAGATCAGGAATAAGTCAAAGACATCTCTTCTCACTACCTTCATTCACTGTGTTGAAGGATGTGGCCCATGCCATAAGGGAAGAAAAAAAAATATTCTGTGCACATGTATTTGGCATCCATTCAAAGCAGGGCCAATTGTATTAACTATTTTTTCTTATGTTTTGTATTGCTCATACTCTGGCATTTGTGGCCTCACTGACGGGAGAGACTGCCCCTCCAAGGGCTAGCCAATTCTTAGAGACAGCATAGGGCTCTCCTGGGAGCATGCCTTTCATATGCAAACTAACCAATCCAGGGCCCACACTCTAAACCACCTCCTTTATCTAACTCACACACCAAGGCAATATTTCCTCTGCCCTAAATCAACCCTGGGCCAGGTACCAGACAACTAGAGACAGCACCTATAGCCCAAAGCCCACCAGAATTTGTCAAATTGGCCAATCCTAAGCTGTTTCCCCTGTCCTGCCTTGTCTTTCTAGTGGAAAATACAATAAAGGCTGTAGTGTACTCTTCCCTCTCCTTCTTGCTTCTGTCTCCTGACTGACTCTACTGCTTCCCCAGAGGACCCTGTATGGTGTGGTGTGCTCCTTGCCCTCAGGAAATGTAACTAATAAAAGCCTTCTTTCAATTGAAAGCCCAGAAATAAAACCACACATCTATGGACAGCTTATTTTTGACAAAGGAGCTGAGGGCATACAATGGAGAAAAGAAAGTCTTTTCAACAAATGGTGCTGGGAAAACTGGAAAGCCACGTGTAAAAGAATGAAAATTGACCATTCTTTTCACCATTCACCAAAATAAACTCAAAATGGATCAAAGACCTAAAGGTGAGACCTGAAACCATAAGGCTTCTGGAAGAAAACGTAGGCAGTACACTCTTTGACATCAGTATTGAAAGGATCTTTTTGGACACCATGCCTTCTCAGTGAAGGGAAACAATAGAAAGAATAAACAAATGGGACTTCATCAGACTAAAGAGCTTCTTCAAGGCAAATGAAAACAGGATTGAAACAAAAAAACAAGCCACTAACTGGGAAAAAATATTTGCAAGTCATACATCTGAGAAAGGCTTAATATCCATAATACATGAAGAACTCTTACAACTCAACAACAAAAAATCAAACAACCCGATCAAAAAATGAGCTGGAGACATGAACAGACATTTCTCCACAGAAGATATACGGATGGCCAATAGGCACATGAAAAGATGATCATCATCACTGATCATCAGGGAATTGCAAATCAAAACTACACTAAGATATCACCTTACACCCATTAGAATGACAAAAATATCTAAATCTAATAGTAACAAATGTTGGAGAGGTTGTGGAGAAAAAGGAACACTCATATACTGCTGGTGGGAATGCAAACTGGTGCAGCGACTATGGAAAACAGTATGGAGACTCCTGAAAAAATTAAAAATAGAACTACCATACGATCCAGCCATCCCACTTCTGGGTATTTATCCAAAGAGCTTGAAGTCAGCAATCCCAAAAGCCCTATGTACCCCAATGTTCATTGCAGCATTATTTACAATAGCCAAGACATGGAAGCAACCTAAGTGCTCATCAACAGATGAATGGATAAAGAAGATGTGGTACATATATACAATGGAATACTACTCAGCTGCGAAACTGAGCAAAATCATTCCATTTGCAATAACATGGATGGACCTTGAGGGAACTATGTTAAGTGAAATAAGCCAGCTAGAGAAGGATAATCTGTGTGTGACTCCACTCATATGAGGAATTTAAAAATGTGGACTAAGAACAGTTTAGTGGCTACCAGGGGAAAGGTGGGGTGGGAGGTGGGCACAAAGGGTGAAGTGGTGCACCTACAACACAAATGACAAACATTAATGTACAACTGAAATTTCACAAGATTGTAACCTATCATTAACTCAATTAAAAAAAATAAAATAAAAAAAAGCCTTCTTTCAATGGCATTAGACTCTCTGTGCCATCACTCAGTCGCCTCTATATATTAAAATCCTGCATGTACAACAATTGAGACAAAGGACATCCAGATCAGAAAGGATGAAGTGAAAACTTTCTTTATTCACAGATGACTAGATGGTTTATGTAGAAGACCCAATGGAATGTCCAAAAACTCTACTAGAATTATGAGTAATTTAAGCAAGGTTGCAGGATACAAGATCAATATACAAAAATCTTGTTGTGTTCCCAAATACTAACAGCAAGGAATTGGAGATTGAAATGAAAACAATAATGTTTATGATAGTATCAAAAATATGAAATGTTTAGGAACAAATAAGTGAAGATGTGTACACTGAAAACTGCAAAACATTGCTGAGACAAATTTAAAAAGACCATAAATTCTTATGAGTGGACTGAATACTATGAAGATGTCAATACTCCCCAAACTAATCTGTGGATTTAACACAAGCGCAATCAAAATTCTAGTAGGCTTTTTTCTAGAAATTGACAAGCAAATTCTAAAATTCCAATAGCAATTCCAAGGACCTACAACAATCAAAACAACTCTGAAAATGGAGAATAAAGTTGGAGGATTTATACTCCCTGACTTCAAAACTTATTATAAAGGTATTGTAATAAAGATGTATTGGCATCAAGATAGATAAATACATCAATGGAACAGAACAGAGAATTCGGAAACAGACCTATACATATTTGTCAATTAATTTCCAACAAAGATGCAATGGAAAAAGCATAGTCTTCTAAACAAATGGTACTGAAACAACTGGATA